AAATCTCTGTCTCTATAATACCTCTATTGTGTGAAATCTCCATCTTTCTCTCTCTCTAGAGTACCTCTATTGTATGAAATCTCCATCTCTCTCTTTCTCTCTCTAAAATACTTCTATATTGTACAAAATCTCCCTCTATCTCTCTCTAACACACAGAGATACTCTCTCTCCTCTCATCTATCTCTAAAATACTTCTATATTGGGTTCGAATTTTCTATATTATTTATTTTGCCTATAGAGAGAGAATACTTCTATATTGGGTTGGAATTTCCTATGTAATTTATTTTGTCTATAGAGAGATTTGATTTCGATTAGTGTGAGGAAGTCAACGGAGAGAGAAAGATTCTCTCTCCATTTGTGGGGACGGAGGGAAATATGGTGGGGAGAGGGAAATCCAGTGGGAAGAAAAAGAGGGGAAAGAGGTGAGGAAGAAGCCCTGAGGAAAATAGAGAAACAGAGAATGCCGTGAGGAAACTAGAGGAATGGGTAAAAACCCTGAGGAAGCAGTTGTCAGGAAAATAGAGGAATCGGTAGACTAAATGGGTTAACGAGAGGGATAACGGGTAACGGGTAAAGGTCAAAACGTGGGTAAAATTGTCTTTAACTCATCGTTTTTTGGGTTGAGGGTTTTAGTAAGGAAAGTTGAAAGTTGATTTTTTAAAAAGAAGGGTAAAAAAATATTAAGGTGGGGGTAGAAAGAAGATCTAAAAAGCTTATTTTGAGATATATTTAGTAATTTTCCCTTAAAATAAAGGATTTTAGAAATGGATTTTTTATTTTTTAATTTTTTTATGGATTCATCATCTAACCAAGGCGATTATGACTTTGAAAATAAATCATTTCTTTATTAAACACAAAATGAACATCAAAATTTTATGTTAAAGTGCAAAATTAGTATCAATAGACACATGCAAGAAAAGAAATTTCAAGATTTATATTTTTTGTAAAATAATGAAAATACAAAATATAATACCCCATTTTCTTTGGAAACTAAAAAGACATTATTTTTAGCGATTTTAATGAATTTTTGAAAAAAAAAAAAAGTCTACATCCGGCCGATTTGACCGATTCTTCGATCTGAATCACTGATCTAGACTCGACAGTTTTCCGACTGCACTTTCCAAATTAAAACATTAGTATAAGCCAAGGTTGAAAATTCAGCGCCCAATTTGGATCGGAAATCGTTGATGATGATCCTATCTAGAACTGGTCAGGTTTCCCCTTGAACGGGACGGGTGAGAGAGACGAGTCCTGTTTATCAGGACCAACAACACCTTAGCCTTCTAATGATAAAAACAAACTCATATTGAAGATATTTGCAACAAAATGAAAAGATAATGCAGCAAAATGAAGAGATAATGTCCCACTTATTAATCACGAGAGCGTGAGATTCTCTTGAAGCCATTTTGAATTCTTGAGGCTGATAATGACTATCCCACCACCATAATAATCCCAAAGACCAATAAAAATATAAGAGAGAAAAAAGTTTCATCACCAAAGCTACAAATCACACTTCAAAAACACTCCCAAAATAGGATCAGGGAATACTTGATCTTCCTGTTTCTCTCTTTAAACTCGCAATTTTCTCTAATCATATAAACTAGCTTTAAAAAAGAAAAGCCCAGTAATAGTTCCAAAACCCAAAAAAACCTCTAAATTCTAAAAAGATCCCATCTAAGCACTCACGCAAAAAAGAAAAAAAAAAAAAAGGAAAAGAAAAGGAGTCTAATTTGCTGCAAAACGAGTGCTTTCTTAACATAATAAAATCCAAGACCAGGAAACAAAATCAAAGAGTCCTCAAATTGCTATCATTGTCAAATATGACTTGTGAGTCTTAATCAATAACACACAATTGACACGGTCACAACTGTTTTTTTTTTAAAAAATTAATGTAAACAAGAAACCAAAGATGCAAAATTGATGGAGGTAGCGAGAGAGAAAAGAAAACAAAGTTGCACCAAATTATGAAAACAAAAAAAAAACGAGACTCTACCTAGAAGCAAATAAATAAAACTATATTTTTTCTTTTGTTTTTCCTTCAAACACATAGGCCCTCAAAGGAGATCTTTAGCTTTTTTTCTTCCGTGCACATATCTAGATCTAGCTCAAAATGCCCCACGGTGGGCACCAAACTATTTACAGTGCAAATCGGGGAGATTTTCGACTAAATATCCCTCATATCTGAACACCAATAACTCAATTTTTAAAAGTGATAGAAAGTGGGGACAATCAAATTCTGATTCGAGGCCAGATCTACTCAGAAGCGAGCATATCTGCTTTCAGATCAATGGCAAAGCTAACATTGATCCAAAAACACAAAAGATTGAATGAAAAACGAATAAAATCCTAAATCTAACAAAAATAACTAAAAGTGAGAGGAAAAAAAGATGAGAAAAATACCTGGTCCGGCAGACCCCGAGGCTTTGAGGCCTCATCCGTATTAGAACTGCGGTTGTAATTTCCGTTGTGGATCCTCCATATCTCTCTTCAATATTAACCAAGTCTTATCCTGGTTGAATGATTTTCTTGGATCTAATCTGAACTTAAGGTTGCAGGTTTAATTGCTAGAGTTTGCTACGTTTTTTTTTTTTAGATCTAGGGTTTTTCACAAGTTTCTCTTCTAGCTTCTGCTCCATCTCTAGATCTAGGGTTTTGCATAAGTTTTTCTTCCCAACTTCTTCTCTATCTCTTATTTCAGATTTGCCCAGCTAAATGGATAACTACTAAAAATATTGGATAACTATTAAATCCACAAGATTTGCAAAAATACTGGATCAGGATGAGGCTATAGATTGCGGTGTTTTATGGTTTAGGGATCTTATAGAATAATATGATCATGTTTAAGGTAGGAAAATCATGAAATTTACCAGTTTAAGGTAGACACTACTGACGTATAGGTGAGGGACAAAGTAGTCGACACTGTTAACAAATAGGTGTGTGGCAAAGTAGTAGACACGGTTGACATTTTAAATTCATTCTAATGTTTCGTGGTGCAGAGGGCACACCAACTATCCCTCCAAAAAAGTGCAATTTGAGTTTTTTTTTGTTTGAGGCATTTTTTTTTTTCAACTCCATAGAGAGCAATTTGAGTTTTTTTTTTTTGTTTGGTTAGTCTATATATTGAAAATATTATATCTCAAAAATTTGAAGTCCTAAAATTACTCCTAAATTAAAATTTTCCCGAAAAAATAAATAGACAATGTACAACTATAGAATGTCATGACCCTCTGATAGATATTGTTGAAGCAACTGGCCGCACCTTGAGTGTGTACAAGACATGATCCGGATGGTCGGTTCCTTCCCCATCGCCTTCTTTTTGTATATTCATTTCCTCGCTACCAAACCAACCCATTGGACTAGGGTTCCTTCAAGAAAAAGTTTTACGATGAGTGAAAGAGCTCGCTGACTCTTGAACATCCATCTTTAAGATGGACGTCGTGTAAAGTGCCATAAAAAAACGTTCCAAAAGATGCACATTTTTAATTTTAAAATTTTATTGAGGTAAATCACTGGGACCAAAATTGGTTAAGAGTTTGGTACTTACCGTGTGATCAAACTACTAACATTAGAGATTTCACATTCAATGAATCTATGAATATGCGTTGTTTAATTGCGTGATTGAAGTCGTGTGCGTTATCATCAAATGTCGGGGCATCATGGAAATTTTTGACTTTTTAAGTTAGGAGTGAGGAGTGGCAGGACTGTTTAAGTTTTGTTTCTTTGTTCTTTTTGTTTTTCTACTAAAAAATAAAAGAAAAATTCAGTCAAATATTCATGAGAGGTAGACTATTTAACATTCTATGCGTATTTTTTATTTAATTTAAAGAAAAAAATATCCAAATTGACCATTTACTTTTAAAAACAAGAAGATCACAGTAGTTTGTGTCCATTAGATTTCAAATCGGTTGCTTGTGAGTTTGTCATTGACTATATTCAAAGTTTTTTAAAAAAGAATAAAGTCATATATAGCCGAGGCTCTAAACAATCGAATCAGAGCCCACCTAAAAAATTTCACTAGAATAAGTGTTTTGATGCCTAAATATCCTCAAAATTGATCATCTCGATATCAACATGTTCATAAACATGAGAAAAAATAAATTTCAAGTTTTGGAAATAATGCATCTTATAACGCATTTTTGGACTGTCAATTTTTAAGATGTTAAAGTTCTCATAGATTTGCTCGATCTATACTATTTTTTAATATTTAAAATTTACAATTAAGGATGAAAAAATATTTTAATGCTGTCACAAAGATTTTCAATATTGAAACCACATTTCTCGATACTATTTGAAGGTGTGCTTTACTTTGATTGTTTAGAGCCTCGGCTCTATAAAAACCGCACCCTTTAAAAAATACCCTCTCAAAAGATACATCATCATCATCATCTAAGCTTTATCCCAATTATTTGCTGTTGGTTATATGAATCATATTTATCTATTATTCTCTTTAGGATTCACGATAAGATGTGCCAAAGTTTTATGCTTTTCTTTTCTTTAGAATTCGCGATAAGATGTGCCAAAGTTTTATGCTAACTGCCTATGTAATGCAACCTACCTCTTTTACTTAGACTCGGGACGGTTAAGAAAATGTTTAAGGTCATCACCCTTATTAAACCCATAAGCAACAAATATTAAAGCCCCAAAAACATGTTGATCGGTACTACAACTGGAATGCTCAACCAATTAGTTGCTCCATGGATACTCAACCATGCTCAATCTTTAGCCTCACCTTCTTAAGTATATAAACAAAGTAGCTTTGGCATACAATGTCCTGAACACTTACAATGATAAATAGTTTCATATGCTTTGAAGCAATGGTTTAAAAAATGGATCGATGACTCGAATCGGGTTTCCAAAAAACCGATTT